AGACAGAAAGCGAGAAATCACCCCCCAGGGGGGATGGTCACGGTGCAATCCCTTCTCCTCCATTCTCCTCTTGGGATCTTGGGCATGCATGCACATGCGCCCGGCGTGAGTTTTAAGCCACCGGGTCCAGGACGCGAACCGCGGTTGACTACGTGGGAGTCCAGTGACATAGCCATTATGCTAACTGCTGGTTCCTGGAAACAATACTTTCATTATTACTTTTTATGATTCAGAATGGTAGCTATAGGACTCTAAATTTTTAAAAAACTTTATTAAAAATGTTGATATTTAAAAAAAGTCTGCCCCAAAACATCTTTCTTTGTCCCAAACAAAGCATTTAATACACTCTTTACCGGTAAACTTGAACTTCAGAGAAAATGGTAAAAGTCTCAATCCCATCTTTAATTTGGTCACCTGTTAGGCATAGGTGTCCCTGGTTCCACACAATACACTTACTCTATTTAGTTCTCTAATTAAATTATTTTCTATTATTCTGTTGGTCCTATTAAATGGTTGTTTTAAGGGACTTTAAAGGAATATAGACTTATATATATATTTTAAGAAGACCAGTTTTACATTCTTCTCCTACTGAAAAGCAGTGTAGTAGCAACAATTACTTGAAATACAGTCATGTGCTGCTTAATAGTGGGGCTGCTTGCTGAGAAATGCATCATTAGGTGATTTAGCCATTGTAAGAACATCATAGAGTATACTCACACACTCCTAGATGGTGTAACCTACACCACCTAGGCTATATATAATCTTATGAGGCCAGTGTTATGTATGCGGCCCATGGTTGACCAAAATGTTAACATGTGGCACATGACTCTGCATGCTGTTTGCTTAACTGTATTTTAATCTACAATTGGAAAGCTACACAATTCAACCTGTTATAGAGGAAATCTTAGTAAATAAGGGGAAGAAGGAAAAGGTAGCTTAGTGAGAATGGAGACAGCTAAATTATGATAAAACCTAGTGGGCCCTCAAAGCTGTGTTTTAAAAAAGTACCCTTTTAAAAGTATCCTTAGAGGATAGATGGTGGCATGGCTGTAAAACATGATGCTCTGCAAGGTTGGCTCACATAGGAAGGTCCCAGATTCGTGTCCAGAGACTTCTCTGGGTATACTGGACATCATGTGCCCATGACCTCGATGAAGCCAGGGGTAGATCATAGTGCCAGGACCCTGTTAGGAGTGCTGCTTCTCTGTCTTTATCTCTGTATCTGTCTCTTTCTATCTCCTTAACTCATGGGAAAATAAAGAACTCATAGTAATTATCCTTGGAAAACTTTAAAGACTAGGTGCTTAATATGACTGACATACTGTAGGGATAAATACTGGGGAGAGGGATATACATTTCCTATTTACATTCTATTGTAATTACTTCCTTCTTTATTGGATTTCCCCATTAGCCTAAGGAAGAAGACATAATTAGTGATTTTCAAACTTGGCTTCACATTAGAATCACCTAGAAAGCTTTAAAAGAAAACACAATGTCTGAGTTAACTGGCCTAGTGGATGAAGTCATAGGTTAGTATTATTTAAAAACTACCATGTGAGTCTTATATACACCTTGGATTGAGAATTAATGGTATAGGATACCTCAGCTCCTAACACAAGCTCAGACACATAGTAGGTGTTAAATAAAGATTACTTGGATATTTGAATGAAATCATGAATGTTTTCTCTATGAAACAAACATGAAACGTGGTTTTGATTTTTATCTTCACAGTATGTTTTACTGATGAAACGCACAAAAAATCCATATCTTATGGATGAACAACATGTATATTTGTGCTGCTTATGATTATGGTATTTTAAAATTATTTTTATTTATTTAGATTTTGAGGGTGTGTGCACATGTGCCCAGTGTATTTTTTTGTGCTGTCAGATCCAGGACTAGAACCATGCAGTTGGTCATGTGGGATTCAGTTGCATTAACCTGCATGCCACCTAGGTAGTCCTAGATTATACTATTTAGTCATTAACTTTTTTAAACACAGTATTTTGAATGGATCATTTATTGCAAAGATATGAATGCAATTTGGTTCATTTTTTGCAGTGTCCTCTCTAGCAAATCAATGAGCTTTTATGATATAGGTTCACAGATATTAATCTTTAATCAATGGTAAATTTAAGATGAAGCAGGGGGCTAGTCCTGCAGGGCAGAGGTTAAGCGCTGCACAGAGGAAACCAGATTCGCATTGCCATTGAGGTTTCAAACCCTGCCCCAGGAGCAGCATTCTGGGCACATCATGTCTGCCCAGTATCCTGACGGGCTGGAGAATCGGAAACAGACTTAGAGTGTGACCAGGCCTCATTTAAGGAAGGAGATCTCTGTCTCTCTCATATACACATGCTCTGTTATGAATAAATGAAAACTTTTTAAAAAAGAGATGCAACAGGGAACCAGCTGTTAGCGTAATGGCTATGTCGCTGGACTCCCACGTAGTCGACCGCAGTTCGCGTCCTGGACTCAGTGGCTTAAAACTCACGCCGGGCGCATGTGCGTGCGTGCCCAAGATCCCGAGAGGAGAATGGAGGAGAAGGGATTGCGGCGTGACCATCCCCCCTGGGGGTTGATTTCTCGCTTTCTGTCTCTCTGGCTCTCTCTGTCTATCTGGCGAGTGCACGCGCCCTATAGCAAAAACCTCTCAAAAAAAAAAAAAGAGATGCAACAGAAAAACACATCTGTTGGCTTATAACTATATTAAAGAAAAGCATGTATTATATTTATGCATATTACAATATAATCACTTTTGTACAATTATGCAAAACTTCATTTTTTTTTCTAGAAATCCAGCTTTCCTCCCAACACACATGTTGGGTGTAATCTGAATATAGCATGTTTAGTGGTTCATTGCAAATGGCCTATTTCATGCACTTTACTTTTGAAGTAAAAGAATAGTTATTTTTGCATGAGAGTCAAAGGGAATAGTATTTCCATGAATTAGCTCCTGTCTTGAATAACTCTTCACTGAACCCATATCTACTTTTGAAAAAAGTACCAATTGAAGGATCTTTTGTTAAATGAGGTTTGCTTGGCTTTTGGGAATGAATCTCACTTTTTATGCATAGCAGGACAACTGGAATATTTAAAATGTTTCTATATTGCATAGGACAAGCTTATATAGATGAACCCCAAGGAAAGAATTGTATAAATGCATGCCATATGCTGTATAATCTCTGATAAAGATTAATTTCCTAATTGACATTTATATTTTTATCATTTTCATTCCTAAAATGATATAAGAACAGGGATTGTAACTTGACTTCTATTGTAGAAGAGCCTACTGCATTTAATTGAAATCTAAATAAATGTTTGTGTAATTTATGAAATAAATGTAATAGAAAACTGTTCAATGGTTAGCAGGGTGGACTCATATGAGCCTCAAAAATCAAAACCTAAGAAAAAGATTCAAGGGTACAATGATGCTGGCCAATGGGATTGCGAATCAAAATTATCTGAGTTGTATTTTATTTTATTTTATTGTATTTTAAACAAACATCTACCAATCCAGATTTCCTGAAATGGAATATTAGAGGTGGTTGCAAAGGAAAAAAATGGTGGGAAAAAATCCTGGGAATCTGTGTTTTCAAAAAATCCTCTCTTTCCTTTTCCAGGTGATTATTATGCAACCAGTTGGGCAACGGTCTGGTTAAACGTTGGGGAACCACTGGTATAATGGAGTGTACACCGGACAAGGAGTTGAGAAACATGGGACCTAGTCATAGCTTTGCTACCAATTTGTCTGGAACAATCCACTTCACCCTGGCAAATTCAGTGTCCTTTGTGAGAAGCTTCATTTCTAGATAATTCTGTAGTGATTTATAAGGTCTGTTTGTGCCTAATATACTGTGATTCTGCTAGTTTTAACCTCTAATAGGAGAATATATATAATAAAATGATATAGGTAAAGATAAAATGAAGCTGCACATATATCCTACAAATAAATGTTCCTAGCTCAGGGCCAAACTGTGTGCTGCACCACGAGTTCAGGCATGTATGTGCAAGTTTTTTTCAGGTGCCATTACCTGGATTATATCCATTAATGGTCAACAAATTAGAAAAATCTGTGTTTGCACATTGACCCTTACTATGTTACACTTACTATGTCAAACGTATGTTATTTCCAAAAGACATCTACCTTTGAAGAGTCCAGGAGAGCTACAAAAGCACAACTCATTAGCTTCCCTGTTTCATCAAGCACCATTTAAATGCTCTAATAGTTCCTCATAGTCAGAGAATAGAAGTGCTTGTGTCCAAAAAAATTAATAATTTCTCAGTCATTGACTTTAGTCATTAGATACATATGCTGTGCATATGCCAAGATCTATTGAGTTGCTGGAAAAGTCATGATGCATTCTTACATAGAAAAATATATCATTACTTTTCTGACCAACCAATATATTTCTATATATTTTGTGTCTGGCCTGAAACGGAAGCTCAAGAAATAGTTAGTTGGGAACCAGCAGTTAGTGTAATGGCTATGTCGCTGGACTCCCACGTAGTTGACCGCGGTTCGCGTCCCGGACTCGGTGGCTTAAAACTCACGCTGGGCGCGTGTGCGTGTGTGTCCAAGATTCCGAGAGGAGAATGGAGGAGAAGGGATTGCGGCGTGACCATCCCCCCTGGGGGGTGATTTCTCGCTTTCTGTATCTCTGTCTCTGTCTGTCTGGTGAGCGCACGTGCCCTATGGCGAAAACCTCTCAAAAAAAAAAAAAAAAAGAAAAGAAATAGTTAGTTGAATTAAAAGAAGCAAGGAAAGAAGAAAAGAAGAATGAGCAACAGGAAAAGAAAAGTGGGCTTTTAAAAGATGAAGGTAATGAAGTTTTTCATCATTGGGCACCATACTTCCGTTAGATCATGTGGACCTTCCTTGAATGTAAAAAACAAAAAAACAAAAACCAGAAAACCCCAAAACAAAAAACAAACAAACAAACAAAACAAGACATTTATCAGAAGGATGTTCAGAACTGATTCAGAAAGGAATAGCTCACCTTTTTCAAAGCAGAGGTTTTCATTGACTGGTTTTCCTTCCTCGTTGACATCTATTTTCATCCAGCTATGGAGGTATTTCCTGCCCTTCTTGATCACTACCTTTGGGCCTTGTTTCTTGAGAAAGAGAGAGGCATTTTCCACCTCTAGGAACCCTTCCTGTTCATAGCAGGTCCATCGGGGTGCCTGGGAGCAAGGGGTGGTGATGGCTGCACGGGAAGGGCCACCAGAGGAATTGGAGATGCCCAGGCACAGTGCAGAGAGAACATGAAGGAGCTTTTGATCCTCAGTCCACAGCCACTGCTGGTTCGGGCTGGTCCCATTGCAAAGGCCCACGACCACTCTCTTATTTATGAAAAGACATTGTTGTTTCTGGACATGGACAATCTGAAACCCTCCTGGAAGATGAAAGGCTCATAAGGTACTTTGTAGTGAATTAAAAGGCCCTTTAGAAAACAAAACAAGCTACCCAGAAATTGGCTAAGAAATCTGAGAGGTTTGCTTATATTTTGGTACTGCTATATTTTATGTGAACGTTCCCACATTCGACAGATGTGATTAAAATCCCAGAGCTGAAATGTAAGTTGTCAAAATGTCACACTTGGCCCTCCCCACATTTTTTTTTTTTTTTACTTTCACGTGGTTTAGGTAAGAAAACACGCCCCTCTAGAAAAAAATGAAAGTAAGCTTGAAAAAGAAACAAAACTATCCAAAAATCATGGTTTTCTTTTGGATGAGGAAAGCCACTTCCAAAGAACATGGTGTGATTTTTATTTACATATGCTGAAGCTACAAAAAGTTAGCTCCTTTTCAACCGTTTGATTCTTTCCATATTACCTCCTAAAAGGACAAAACAAAACACCTTTTTTTGGCCCTCCCCACATTTTTTTTTTTTTTACTTTCACGTGGTTTAGGTAAGAAAACACGCCCCTCTAGAAAAAAATGAAAGTAAGCTTGAAAAAGAAACAAAACTATCCAAAAATCATGGTTTTCTTTTGGATGAGGAAAGCCACTTCCAAAGAACATGGTGTGATTTTTATTTACATATGCTGAAGCTACAAAAAGTTAGCTCCTTTTCAACCGTTTGATTCTTTCCATATTACCTCCTAAAAGGACAAAACAAAACACCTTTTTCCTATCCTTAAGTTCACATTGCAATAAATATTTGTACACAAACTGCATAGTTTAGGTAACATTTAAACAAATTAATAATTTTAAAAAAATAAGACAAATTCTATCCCCGAGCACAACCATTGAACTAATAGCAACCAATGAAAGTATTGATTATTACAAACTAAATTTCCTGTAGCCCTGGAGAGAATCATTTCTTTATTTTGTGGCAGTATCTACAGTTTTCCTTCAAATACTAATAGATTCTTAAAAGATAGCATAGCTTGATGGAAGAGAATTAAACACCCAGTTGTTACACATCAGTATTAAAAAGTGAGATATTTAGGCTCAGAAACCATTTTCAATGAGCTGTTCCATAATTAAATTGCCCAACCCTCCCATGTCCTTATTATTCTGTCCTTGTAAATAACTACTTCCAAATAAAACATGCTAATTTCCTCACCCCCTATAGTCATCTTCTTAAACTTTCTTTAACACAAGAGAAAATATAACCAGAACTTGACTAGAAAAAAGCATGGCGACTGTCCCAGACTGTTATATAATAAAAGATTTCTCCTTAGGCTGCTTTGCTCTTCGCTGTAAAGATGCCATTTCAGGAGCTGCCCGAGGCACTTGGAGGTCCTGAAGAGACCATTTATTTTCTTTTGTAGAGAAATCTCAACAGTGTGGCATAGCTGGCTCCTTTCATCCCCCTCCTCATCTTCTGTGACTACACTGCCATGGAGATCTGGCTCCATTTCCATCTTATTCCAGACACTTATCAAAGGTCAGAGATTCCTCAGCTGAGCATGGGAGAAACGCTTCAGAAAACTGAGGCAGACCCACTCACCTGAATTCCCAAAGATGAAGCAGGTAAGAATCGCTACGTAAAATTCAGCCTCCATTTTCCACTTAACAACTGTTCATGCGTTGCTTGGGGGAAAAAAAAAATTCTCCCAGATAAGAGAAGCAAAAACTAGGAAGGAAATGTGCCTTCATGGTGGGGGGAAAAAGTCAGTGACGAGCATTTCCTCCAATTGAATTGTTTGGGGAAGTTTTACACCAGTGTCCTTTTGTCTGTTTCCTTAGAAAGAAGGGATTATGATTACCTTTCTTTTTTTTTAATGGAGAAAAAAAACTCCAGCCTTCAGGAACAGAATCACTAGTGAGGTCTTTACCTCCCATTACTTTGGCACATGGCTACTTCTTAACCTCGAGAGGGAAGAAGGGATTGTAATCTCAGATAATTGGATGTTCCTGCAACATTACATCTCTTCAGGTGATTTGATTCTGCTGAAGAAACATAAACCATGTAATTTATGAGGGTCTACAAGAAGTGACAGAAAGACATAAACAAGCACTGTTTGCATAATGATATGCTGGGAGTCTGTTGAGGAAAACCACATAATGATGGCACTTCTAGGTCATTATCTCTTAAGTGATGACAACATTATATTCTGAGATATTCATCTCCACCAGGGAGATACAGACTGAAATTAAACCTATCCCATTATCTACCTCAGGCTTCCCCAAACAAATAATGGCTTTTGTCCAAGTAGGAGAGAAAAAGAAAACAAAAATGGGAAAAAAGAATGTGCTTTACTCGATATACAGTAGTCAGAGTAGTTTATTGGCAGTACGAAACCAAGTCAACATTGCTGCTTAAAAATTCATATATGACCAGAACATCTAGTGTTGGTTGAGTGTAGTTATTTTAGCTTTATTTGTCTCTTGAGGGTTAAAACCTTTCTGAAATTTAAGGACATACATGGCAGCATCCTTATGAAAAACCTCTGGAAATGGGATAGGTTACATCATTCCCAAAGGCATCTGCCTTTTTGGGGGAGAGAAAATTCCAGGTAGATAGCATATGCAAAAATCCCTTCATAGTAAAAGAGAGACAAGTATTTAAAATCCTTGATACTTCATAGTTGCTACAAATTTGTTCTTCTCTTTTAAAGTAAAATGACTCAGAATGTAGAAATACAGTGGCTAGAATTCTGGAGCAGAAATCGTCTCTATACCATGAATAGAGAGTAAATACATTTATACCCACAAACAATCATTGTGCTCTGTAATTGATCTATAGGAGGTACTATAAATACACATTTAATAGATAATATCATCAAGACACATTCTCATATAAAATAGTTACTGTTTTTGATTTTTTTTTTCTTCAAAAACAAAGATGTATTTGTTAAAAATCCATTATCAATCACTTGCAAATTTAGCAGCAAGAGTCTGGTAACTGAGAAAGGTAATAGCACTTAAAACATGAACATTTTAACAGCTGACAGTCCATTCACAAGACAGGTTTTGCAAACATTAAAGCATCTAAACACACAATAATAGTTTCTTCAGCAGCTCTTGTAGTCATCACCCGATGACATTTGTCACTGAATTTTACATACATACATTCTGTGTGGCAGATAGTCAATACAGACAAAATAATATCCTCCATAAGCTGAGTGAGAAATCCATCATACCTCCAGTAGCATAGAACCTTCAGAATAATTTGGGGGATGCTTACATAGCACTCATTTACACAAGGGGCTGACGATCTTGACAACGTCGCTGAGTTTTCCACAATCCATGCCACAGGTTGGCTTCAGAGCTTCTCTTTTCTCCCACAGTAGGAAGCTCCATCTCCAAGCCTCAAGTGGGTAATTTGATTAATCACCCAAGAGAATGATGGTCGGGTAAGTCTTCTGTGTGAATCACTGGACGGTTTCCGCTGAAAGTCTGCTCTCGTATAGGCACAGAGCATGATGCACAAATTCATACTGCTCACTGGTTTGAACCATTCCACCTCTGTAAAGAAGAGACCGTAAAATAGCTTCTTTTTGCAAATCATACTATCTCAAGCAACATGATCTCATGTACCATTACTGGGGAGGTGGTATTGCCTAATGGTTAAATACTTGGACTAGGAACAAGCCAGACTATCTGAGTTCATATCCTTCCTCTGCTGAGTCTTAGCTGTGTGGTTTTGGACAAGCTTCCTAAAACCCTTTATGCCTCAGTTTCCTCCTTGGTTAAAGCAGGAGAGTAACAGTAAGTACTTTGTAAGGTCGTTGTGAGGATTAAATGAATTCACTTTAGCTGGATTGTTAGTGTTACTTCTTAGGTGCCTTATCATACATTTCATGTTCAATTGGTTAATCTACTTAGATGAAAGTCTACTAAAATGCTAACCAAACAAAACTCAGCAGTAAAGTGTTGCCTTTTATTTTTTAGAAATATCTACCTATTTATTTTTTGTGATTTTCAAGTCATGGTCAGGGACTCTAACTGGTATTGTCTTTTCTACAGGTAAAAAGAAAGTCTACTCTGTAATGATTTATTTAAGTATGCCTAGCCTTTGGGCACACTAGATATCTAAACACAATAGTAGGTAGGTCCTTAAATGACTTGGAAAAAGGGAATTGGCTTTTGCTTTTTCCCCTTTGTTACCACCATTATCATCACTAGCTGTTTAGCATCCTCTTTGTCATTGATTAATAGAAGGCAGGTTGAAGGGCTGGACTCTCACGTGGCTGACTACAGGTTAAGTCCCTGACTTGGTGGCCTGAAAATCACAACAAATAGATAAATATATATTTTTTTAATAGAAGGCAGATGACAATGCTTCTCATTATACTTTTATGTATATAATACCTATATCACATTTTGCTCCTTTTTTTAGAGTTTATTTTTATTCATGATTACACATGTACGAGAGAGAAAGGAGATAGAAAATCACCCTTAACAGTCTTATCACACCATGATTCCCTTATCCTAGCTCTCCACCTTTTCATGATCTTGGATTCAAGTGCCTGACATGTTTTCAAGCCAACCTGGGGATCTGAACTTCTGGTGGGCATTATGGTTTTCAGCACTATAGTTCAGTACATTACTGAAGGTTAGGCCACTTTTTGCTCCTTTATAATTATGGTTCTTTTTTTTTTTTGAGAGGTTTTCGTTATAGGGCGCGTGTGCTCACCAGACAGACAGAGAGAGAGAGAGATACAGAGACAGAAAGTGAGAAATCACCCCCCAGGGGGGATGGTCATGCCACAATCCCTTCTCCTCCATTCTCCTCTTGGGATCTTGGGCACGCACGCACACGCCCCCGGCGTGAGTTTTAAGCCACCGGGTTCGGGACTCGAACCGCGGTCGACTACGTGGGAGTCCAGTGACATAGCCATTACACTAACTGCTGGTCCCTATAATTATGGTTCTTTAGCTTGACAAAATTACCAGACTTTAATATAAAAGTTACTTATTATTATTATTATTATTTTTTGCTCATTGAATGACAGGGTCACAGGCAGTAACTATTTGAAATTCTATAAAGTCTTCATAATTGGGCAACCCCACAACTAATTTTATGTCTTAGTTTAATTTCATGTTTTAGCCATTTTTTTTCCAATGGCTGTTCATTCCATTCAAAATAATTTCCAGATAATTAAATGCTTTGAATTAAAAACAAGATATATCGCCTCACTATAACACAATTTGAGGTTAAGGGCAATAACTAAAGCTAGGCTTGTGTCTATGTTTACTTGTCAATCTCTCTCTCTCTCTCTCTCTCTCTCTCTCTTGCTCTCTCTCACTCTCTCATTCTGTCCCTCTCTGGTCAAATTAAAATAAAAAATGGATAAAGTTGCATAATTCTTTACAACGGGTCCGGGACACGAACCGCGGTCGACTACGTGGGAGTCCAGTGACATAGCCATTACGCTAACTGCTGGTTCCAATCTCTATAAATATTAAAGCAGTAAGACTTCATCTTTCTAAATTAAGCAGAGCTTCCTCAGGCAAGTTGCCATGATGCCAAAATGATGAAATTAGCTAGAAATTAAAAGGTAAATTTACAGTTCTAGGGACAGCAACTTATCCACAGAAATATTTTATAAATATTTTCCCCTAAAACTATCTTTTGTTGTACTGAAGGCAACTTTTTGGCCAAAGTATTTCTTGGGCAGAAATTGACAACAGATGGGGCTAGCAGGTGTCAAAGCGGCACCATTGCTGGACTCCCACATGGCTGACTGAGGCTCGAATCCTGGACTTGGTGGCTTGAAAATCACACTGGGCATGTGTGTGTGTGTGTGCCCAAGATCCTGGGAGGAGAATGGAGAAAAAAGGATTGCAGCATGGCCATCCCTCCTGGGGGTAGGGGGTGATTTCTCATTTTCGCTTTCACTGTCTCTGTCTCTCTCTCTTTGTCGTGAGTACATGCGTCCTAACGTAAAAACCTCTACCAAATAAATAAATAAATAAATAAGAAAAAGAAATAGAAAAAAAAAAGAAGTAGACAACATAAATGACTGAAGGTGTGATAACTCTTCCACTTCCTGACTAATATGATGGCATCTGGGCACATCTTCTGGATATCTGGTACCTGGTATCTAGAAGATGTTGGCCTGGATCATGAAGGAGGACACAGATATTAAGGCAGCTCCAAGAAGCTAAGGGATGCCTCCCAAGCTCAGGGAACTATTATTCTCCTTTCGAGCCACAGATGGTGTGGGGAACCTTGTATGTTCTCCACCTCTTGGACATGGGTGTATGAAGTTCCTCTTACCATTTACTTGACTTTGAGGCAAGATTTTGCCCTTGTTGTATGTTCTGGACAGCACCGGTATTTACATGTCTAATTACTGAATGAATGGAGACACAGTCTAGGTTTTAATAACCATTTCATCCTAAGTAAGTCAGCAGTATAGTTTAATGGTTGAAGTATATTTTACTATGACATTCTGTTAACTAAGTCAAGGTTGCTTGAGCCAGTGCAAAAGGGGAAACAATCTCATTAGTTACAAGCTAGGAACGTTCTTGCAGGTCTCAAGGCTGCAGGAAGGGTCACGAAAGGTTCTGTTACTTCCCACTTAAAGTGGAAATTAAAAATGAATGAATTGGCATCAGAAGGATCCTCAGAGATCACTCATCCCAATCACTGACAACACATAGCTTTTCCAGAAGGAAGTAGTCTATATGACAGATGGTCAGCTGGCTTCTGCTGGAATGAAGGCTCAAGGGGTGAGGTACCTCCAGAAGAATGTTTGAAAACATCAAAATGAATCTGTCCCTTTTTAATTTTCACCCCAATATCCCAAGTGAAATTACCTAAAAAACTCTTAAGGCTCCCCTTGCAATCACACAATAGCCCTCAAAGTGTTGAAAAACAACCATCAAAGTCCCATAATCTTTTCTTCTCTAGACTAAACATCCTGTGGTCACTCAATATTTCTGTACAGCCTGGTTTCCCTGTCAGTCACCAATCTAGTATCCTTCTTTTAAAGGCTATTTTATCAAATGTGACTGTCTTAGAGTGTTGTGTCTACTTTTGGTGAGAACTACTCACTGGGCATGTTTTCTCCCTTGAGTGGCACTTTAGAAACCAAGGAGTTTGCATTTGCAGGTGCATCAAATGGTAAGGTTCCACAATGCCTCAGGATGCCTGTGCTCAGCAAGCATTTTAGGGTATTGAATGAAGGTTTAGGTTAATTAAAAAGTCAGCAGGATTTTTTTGAATGTGAAAATTGTCACTTTCACCCATCATGTACTTATGCTATTCAATATTTGAAACTCCTATTAATTGTAACTTGTTAGTTTTTGCACAAGTTTTTGTTGACTGAATCATTATTTCTGTCATTAAATGCATTAGTCTGAGGCTTCTCACTTCCAGCATTGTGCCTTCCAGACATTTAACAATGATGTTTTTCATCTTTTTACCTAAATAATTCATTTAAAAATCTTTTTATTTTTAAAGTTTATTTTATTTTATTCATAATAGCACATGCATGAAAGATAGGAAAAGAAAGAGAAAGAAACACCCTTGATCAGGTCTCCTTATGCCATGACTCCCCTTCTCCAGCCCTCCAGCCCATCAGGATCTTGTGTGCTTGTGCATGCTCAAATCACATTTCATGTTGACCAGACCAGGGATCCAAACCCCAGGTCAGCCATGTGGCCTCCAGCAGTGTAGCCCAGCACGCCACTGAGTGAATCATCAAGTCTGGGCATTAAGTCATTTATTTGAAAAACAGACAATACATGTGTATTTTCCTATACACAAAATACATTTGTGGGATCAATGAATAAAACTGTATTAATTATGGAACCCTCAAGAGAAATCTGTGATAATACATTCTTCAGAAGAGCTCTGATTTGGTCCCCAGGTACCTCATAAATCAAATAGGGCTCCATGGGGTTGCTGAAATCTGTATCTATATCACTGGTATAAAGTTTCTCATGCAAGCTTGTTCTGAAAGGTGACAAGGAAGGATGTTCTTTTTATTACTTTAAAAAGAATCACCCAACTCCCACTTAAAGAGCAGGCACTAAAGAAATCCTTGACCCCCTCATAGATTATATTTGTTTAAACTCAATGAAGGTTAAGATGTTGTAAACTTTCAATGGTGATCCAGATGTTTTAGTGGAAGAGGCCTGTGGGGCCCAAAATAGCTGGACCATCATCAGCCAGGCAGAATGCTTGAAATTACCACCATTTCTCAAAACCTTATATTAAAGCAAAGTGCTTTCTGGCGAATCCTCCCTAGGTATAAAACTGTTTTCCCAGGAGGTATAAGACATTAAGCTATAATACCTACCAACAAACAGGAGTTGGCTTACCAAAAAAGGTAAAGTCCAACAAAAGTGGCAGAGAAACTCCAGCCAATTGTGAGACTGGCCCTGGGATTGATATCCAGACATCAGGGTCATTATCAGTAGGGACCAAAGCGTGTTAAGAGGCAAAAAGACACTGTTTAACGTCAAGAGAAATCCTGTCTCCATCACTTACTAGCTGCTTTACCTTACTACAT